CCCCATTTTATGCTGACAGAGTAGATTACTTGTCTGGATTATGAGAACAAGAGGTTTTTACATTCAACAGGATCCCCTAGAGATCTAGAGGCAACAAATAAATGCTTTTTTTCAGTTTTGGAAAAAAAAGTATTTGACAGTCAGCCAGCTCCTTTAACTAATTTTAGATTTGTCAGGAAATCAGTATTCACATTTCCGGGTACAGGAAATATGAGTGTGGTTTTCAAATTTTGTAACATCGCCTCCACGTTTCTTCTCATTTATGAGAAATGTGATGCAAGGGTCACGCTATTTTTAACCAATCTCTGCATTAACACTGAATTAAATACGTTCAAACACAGTGATGAACCACAGCAGTTTTCAAACACATTGGTCTCACAGCTATTACTGCACAGTATATGGTTAAAAGTATAAAAAGCTAGTTTACTCTCACCTCAACCTTCCACTTCGTCTTGCACCTGGGGGTCTCGTCTTTGCCGGCGTGACTGAGAGCCACACATCAAGCTCATTCAGAAACGTCCTCCTAAATTAGGCAAAAGATTGTATTCCCACCACAGGAATGAGTTTATCAGACTTCAGTGGGTCTTCTACATGTACTTGACTGTAAAAGGGTGGTTGAGAGGCCCCTCAGGACACCCTGATTGATATACCATGAAGTCACAGTAATTAATGGTGAAGTTTCCCCTAGGACCAAGGAGGGTTGAAGCTAGGTCAGAAGCAGCAATTAGGAAGCAGCACAGGATCTGTAAGAGCACTCAAACCCCCCTGTAGACCCATCAATCAGACACAGATAAAAGGGGTAAGCGTGAGGATCATGTTTAACCAAAAGGACATTGTCAGACGGTCCATAAACAGCTTCCTCTGTCTTCAGCCGAGTGGAAAAGCAGAGCAGAGACCATCATTCGTAGCACTACAGGGAGTGTTTTGCTTGTACATGGGTGACATGCTTTATGTTCTCAAAAGAGTCAAAATACAGTTTCCAATCATGCAACTTTGTAAATGATTTTTTAAAATTAATTTTCATTTGATGGAAAAAGCCCGTCTGCCAGCATCAGTGACATCTAAGAAATCACTTCACATGATGCTTGCTTCTAGTAGCAGCAATCCAACAAGCAAAAGATCAGGAAAGGTAAGTTAAATGAGTTAAAGTGCTTTGCAAGCATTCATTCACTAAAAGACCACATGACTGCACAAAATACAGAAGTAGAAAGAGGCTGTGGAATAACTCAGACAGATAGGCTTTCACTTTGTGGTCATGTCGGCTACATTTATGTTCACTTGTTTCTGTGATAAGACCGGTAATCTTCCAGGCAATCTTCCTGCCCTCAGCCTGACTCAACAACTGTTCCCTCTGTTACAGGTGTGAGCCGAGGCGAGGAAAGTTTTATCAGAGTAGGCCAGAGAAAGGTCAGGTAGGTTCAATCAATAACCAAACAGCTCAAAGTTTTGAAAAAAAAAAAAACGGTCTTCAAACTGTCATAGGCTCTCATGTTATTATGTTGAGTCATACAAATAATGAGCTCTACCTGTTGAATGTCTCTGTGGGAATTTTGGGAAAAACTGACAACATCTTATGCGTGATTTAGATAAACAAAGAGAACCTTTGAACTATTTACAGCGATTAGCTAACCTGTGGTTAAGCCTATTTACGCCGCAGTGGTTATGTTTAAAACTCCACATGTGAGTTTAGAGATGTGGAAAGAGACAAACCTGTTTCTTTATAAACATTTCTTTGTTGTGCAAGGTGTATGAACTGGGTCTCAGATGATGTGATCCTCTTGCTTCCATCTCCTGATGAGAGCTCAGCCACCTGTACAGCACACACACGCCACACCTCTGCAGCAAACAAGAAAGGAGGTGCATGAATCACTAATTGCTGGCAATTAATAATTAATCCCATCACACACTGAGGATGCAAATACTACCTACCACCTAATGACTCTTGTAGTACTGGTAAGAAAGAATACCCTCCAGTCATGTATGTTATTGCTCTGGAAAAGAAGGTTAATTTATCATGTAAATTAATTAAATTAAATGTTCTATTGGAATTATTTTCTTTATAGTGAACCTTTATCTATTAACATAAAGCTTGTTCTGAAGAAGAGAAATGATGTTAAGAGGTCCATTAAAAATGCACAATGTCCACATTTTTTTTAATAACCTTGGTTAAGCGGCTCTCTGAAAACTAACTTAGACTAACACACTGTGAAATGGAATGAGCAGCGCTAAGTACTAAAATCTCTTTCAAATTGATTTCTGGCTTTTTATGGTGCTTAGATGTTGATTATATCATGCAGGCAATACAAATTTAAACACAGACCAAGACCAGACGTAATCTCAGCAATGCCAGTAATAGTTGCTTGTGTTTATTTACACCAACCAACATCATGGCTGTCTCTTTTTAAATCATGACTGTCATATAATAGCGACATGGTGTTACGTCTCAAACGGATACTTAATATAGATAGAATATGTCTTTATTTTCATTGATATATTATGCAGTGTGACACAATTTGGTTTGCAGCTCTGCCGATGTTCAAGTTAAATGTATATAAAAAAATATAAATAGTAATAAAAAATCTAAAAGAATAACAATCATCATGCAATAGTACAATATAGTATAACATATAAAAATTACAATGCACGAGATTCTGTCCGTCCACATTATGGTAAATGGCCTGTATTTGTATAGCGCTTTACTAGTCCCTAAGGACCCCAAAGCGCTTTACACAACATGTCATCCTCCAATTCACACACTGGTGATGGCAAGCTACATTGTAGCCACAGCCACCCTGGGGCGCACTGACAGAGGCGAGGCTGCCGGACACTGGCGCCACTGGGCCCTCTGACCACCACCAGTAGGCAACGGGTGAAGTGCCTTGCCCAAGGACACAACAACCAAGACTGTCCAAGCCGGGGCTCGACCCGGCAACCTTCTGATTACAAGGCAAACTTCCAACTCTTGAGCCACGATCGCCCCATTATTACCACACCGATGACAGAAAGTATTATTTTTAATATTTCTAAATATTTTTATTTAAGACTTCAAACTATATTTTGGAATTTTCTTTAAAAGTGTAACAGTTTTTTAGGGAAATTATTTTAATTAAACTAGGTAATGGTCTGAGTTTCGCAATGGTGCTACTGACATTCATACCTAAGATATCGTATAAACGTTACTCAAAAATAGAGATATAAATTTAGGAGGCTAGTTTTTTTAGACATCCATTTGATGTAATGTGTTTATAGAGATAGTTATAAACTAAATGTAGTAATGCCAAACTGCTATTGCATACACCCACAGACCATTTTATTAGGTATACATATTTGGCTGCAATGTTATGCAGATACCTGATCTGTCAATCACATGGCAGCAACTCGATGCATTTAGGCATGTAGATATGGTTGTGACAACCTGGTGAAGTTAAAGGGTAGAGCATCAGAATGGGGAAGAAATTTGATTAAAGTGACTTCCAATGTGGGATGGCTGTTGGTGCCAAACAGGACCTGGTGATCTACTAGGATTTTCCTGCACAAAATTCTACTGGATTTTTTTTTTTTTAAATAACCACTTGTTTCAACCAAGGTATGCAGAAGAGCATCTCTAAATTCACAGAATATCAACTCATGAAATGGATAAGCAACAGCAAAGGACGACAACACAGGGAGGTCACTCCTGTCAGCTAAAAATAGGACCAGGTTTCTGATCTGATGAGTCTCAATTTTTCTGTGACATTTGGATGTCACAGAAAATCAGAAAGTCAGAATTTGGTGTAAACAAGCATGAAATGTATTCACCCTGCACTGTATCAACAGTTCAGGCTGCTGCTGGTGATGGTGTAATGGTGTTAAAGCAGCCTACGGTACCTAAATATTACAGCTAACCATGTCCCTCCCTTGTGACCACAGTATACACATCTTTCAGCATGACAACGAGCTGTGTCACAAAGCTCAAATCATCTCATCTTGAACATGACAGCGAGTTCCCTTCACTCCACACGTCTCCACAGTCACCAGGTTTCAATCCAATAAAGCACCTTTGGAATATAGTGGAATAGGAAATTTGCATCATGAATGCGCAGCCAAAAAATTCGCACCAAATCTGTAATAACATCACAAAGTTGCTAAACCAAAATCTTGGAGGAATGATTCCAGCACTTTGTTGAATCTGTGCCACTACAAACTGAGGCAGATCTGAAACCATGAGAGAGTTAACCCAGTACTAAAAAAGGTGTAAAGAGTCCAGTGAGTGTCACTTTAAAATAAGTTTACCATTCCCTTAATTAAACACAAACACACTGAATACTGCACATGAAACCCAAAAGATCAATTGCTTTTTTTCATAGAATTCTCGGAGTCATCGTGTAGTAAGCCATTTCAGTCTGGCGGCATTCTGCTCGTCCATCTGCACACACAACGGAGTCTCTGGTGTTCCTGCTCAGCGTCATGATCGCTGAGGTGGCTGCTGGAATTGACAGTGATCCAGAATGTGGCTGCTATGATTATCAGTGGCAGCAACAATGAAAGCTGCTCAGCCCAAACCGCACAATCACTGCTGACGGGCAGTAGCAACACAGTCACAGCAAACAATGGTGTTCTCTGGCCCCCCAGCCATGACAAAGTCAACAAGCCATTCCAGGAGACTTCTACTGAACATGCTCAGCAGATTTCTGTCTGGAATGTATTCTGGCTCAATAAGTTACTTGAGGTTTCCATTAGAAGCGCAGCCCTTGGATGAACACGGTGATCACAGTGTTGCTTCTTGAGGAAACCTGGAAATCAAACCTCAAGAGGTTCAAGATTAAATTATTGCTTGATCAGCACAAAAAGGAGACAAGAGAAAGTACAGAATATGATACCCAATGACTACCCATGCAAATTTGTCCCGGTCATCTATTTTTGTGCAATGCCACACAGAATCTGTGACCAAATGAGGAAGATGACACTTTCGTGCTTATTTTTCTCTTTCACATGTATAAATAAAAGTCAAAAAAGAAAGGTACATCAAGTCCATCTTTATTAGTTGACTTGCAGTTCATTCCTTTCATCTGCATCATAATAGGCTGATTCCTTTTTACAGCCAGAGATTTGCCTCCACAGTAGCCAAAAAGAAAACTTGTATTTCCCTGCTGAAGTTGTGGTCTGTGGCATGACCACGTCACATACTGTTAGTCTTCCAGAAAGCCGCATGGGCTCAAAGCGCCTGGGGCCAAACTGGCGCCGTCAACTTCCTGGGCACAGGCAGTGGAGAGCACGCAGAGTGGTTCTATTTATAACCTCTTATTATCCAAATGAGCCTGAAAAGATAAGGTAGCAGCAGGAAAAGGGCACAGGTTGTCAGGTAGTCTTTCGGCAAAGTGGCTGCTGTGCTGAAGGGCGAAATTCATAATGCACTGTAAAGACATTTTGTGAGAAAAAGATGGAGATTTGTTCTTAGAGGCAGTCTTATTACCATAGAATTGCTCCATAATGAACAGTCAGTGGCTGCTTAAACATTTTCAGCCCAAAAAGAGAAGAAAACTGCATTCATGAATTTTCTTTCTTTGCAAAACATGTTTATTTTCACATGTTCTTAACCATAAATATTTTTTTCTTTCACAACTGAAATATAAAATAATATAGATGGGAAAATAAAATCTTTCTAGGAGAAAGCCTTGAAGGTTAACGTCTCCCACTACCTCCAAGAAGTGCGCGGTCCCTTTAAGAGATACCAAAACAATCATATCCACTTCCTGTATGCTAGTACGTGAACGGCTTCCATAAGACTCTTTGTATTGTGAATTAAATACTAAATATTGAATAAACGTATTGTAGGGTTTATAAATACACGCCGTCCTACATGTGTTTTTTTAAAAATCTGAAGACCTTCTGAATTTACGATAAGATGATGGCAGCGCGAAAAAGAAAGATGCTAGTGCTGGCGGCGGCAACATCTGAACAAACTGTGTCGTTAAATAAACACAACAAGGACACGGAGCTGAAGCCAAAGGACTCACAAACCGCGCTTAAGAAGCAGCCCAGTCAGTGTGAAAATGCTCAGAGTGCTGAGGCGGAGCGAAGCTGTTATTTTACCGGGAATGAGCAGCAGCACAGGCTAGGAGAGGACTTCTTCAAGCAGCCCTGCATCAGTTTGGCTAAAGCCTTCCTCGGCAAGGTAGGCTGATTCCTCACCTGAATTTAACACCTTTGTATGTAAATGTGTGTGTGTATGTTTTTAAAAGTCAGGAGGCACAAAATGTAGGGAAGAAAATTTATTTTAGTTTAAAATTGTTGTTTTTTTTAACTTCACCTTTCAATTTATATCTTAGTAACTGCCTTCTGTACGTTTGAATGTGCCTGATAAACTTACTTTCAGTGATTGTATTTAAGTTGTTAAGCACTGTTTCCCATTTTTAACGCTGTCTAACTGTTGCTTATTTAAACACATATGCTTCTTCAAAAACAAAGTCTGCTAACTTCAGGGATATTAATCTGTCCATAAACCATTGTGTATTTATTTGACCTAGTTTACCTTCTTTGGTGCAAATGAAATTGACAACAGGCGTACTGGAGAGGCAAAAACAAGTCTCCCAAAAAGGGAATGATTTATCAGGTTTTGCTCTTTCCTTATCCAACTGATTTTATTTCTAGTTTTGTCACTACTTGTAGTATGAGACAATACCTGCGACCATTCAGGCTGCAAAGGTAGTCCACCTCTTCCATGATGGCACTTCCATACAAGCCTTTGGAGGTTTATTGTGTCTACCAGCAAAGTCTCAAGAGTGTAAAGGTTATATTTCTGAGCAACCTGTCAGAAACACCCTCCATGAGGGTGGCACAACATACTTCAGTAGACTTTCCATCACACCCCAGAACTGTACAGTTGTGAGCAGAAGTTGCAGGTCCACCACTGAAACCCTGTTTTCCTCACAATTGAGAACAAGTTTGCATTGAGTCCATGTTACTGATATGAAATACTCTGGAGATACTGTGGGGAACATTATGCTGCCTGTAGCATCTTCCAGCAAGGTTTGGCAGTAGGTAATAGCGATATCCTTGCAGGGTCCCAACGACCTTCACATGCGAGCACATCACGGTCCCTGCTTGAAATCCTCAGACCAATTGTTCTTATGCTGGTGCAGTGCGCCCTAGTTATTATTTTATTCCCAACAAGTATAAATCAATAAAGATTTTGAGCTGGAATATTTCATTCATGAAAGTGTGATTGAGGTGTAGTTTTTTTGTTTTGTTTTTTTGTTAGCAGCAAAACTGGCATGCTGGCAAGCATGGATTTTCTTTGATCGTTCATTGTACACCTCATGAAAATACATCCGTACCCAGTTTTTGAAGCAAAAGGAATATTTGGCTTAACAGAATAAGGTCAGAGATACTTATTATTTTGCTTTCATAGGACTTTTGCCATGACATTAAAAATAGACATTTGTTGTGGTTTTGATTGTCAAAGTTGTGTTTTGTAGGTAGCATCCTTCAGCTAAATGACAAATCTATGTAACCCACCATCCTGTGGATATAGAGAAAGAATCTCCCTGTCCTTTGTTCCTGCAGGTGCTGGTCCACAGGTGTGCAGATGGTACGGAGTTGCGAGGAAGAATAGTGGAAACTGAAGCTTACCTTGGAGGGGAGGACAAGGCCTCACACTCGGCGGGAGGCAAACGCACCGAGAGAAACACAGCCATGTTTATGAAGCCTGGCACAATCTATGTGTATCCAATCTATGGCATCTACCTATGCATGAACGTGTCTAGTGAAGGTAAACGCTATACCCACCAAAGGTGCAATATGTTTTGTACATTATGTCACTAATTTTGTTCACATTCATATATTTATTATTGTTAACAATGGATGTGAAAAGGCCAGTTTTGATCATTCTTCATTATTACAACATTAAACATAAACAGCAGTTCATGGCTTCAATAGTCGCTGTTTAAAGGGTAAAAGGAAGGAGACAGAGTGGAGCCTTGCTGACTGATGCATATTGTGTGCTGTGTTGCTCAGGGGAGGGTGCTGCTGTGTTGCTGCGCTCACTCGAGCCCCTACAGGGTCAGGCCGTCATGAGGCAGCTGAGGGCAGCCAGACGCAAAGAGGGAGCCCGTCAGCTGAAGGACAAAGAGCTCTGCAACGGGCCTTCAAAGCTCTGCCAGGCTCTAAATATACCACGATGTTTTGACCGTCGAGACTTAGCCTCAGACCCAGATGTGTGGCTGGAGAATGATCCTGACACAAGTCCGGCAAAACCCCAAGATATCGTATCAGCACCACGCATCGGAATAGAGTCCCACGGGGAATGGGCCAAGAAGCCGTGGCGTTTTTATCTACGTGGGCACCCCTCTGTTAGCGTTGTGAATAAAGAGGCAGAGAGACAGACTCTGGAAATGTCATGAACGATTTAAGTCCCCATGCCGTGAAGCCTGATACAGGACAGCACAATGTCAAAAGGACTTAACAGGAAAATTCCTGAAACTCCTCGGCCATCTGATCTCTTTAAAGAGTTTAACACTGAAGAAGAATAAAAATCATACAAATACATGATTGCTTTGTTGGGATGTGTCTCACACACATGAAATTAAACTGTATATTTGTAATTTTGTAGTTTGGAGGCAGTGGAGATTCTACAATAAATGTTGCTTGCTTTCCTCAACCATTTAGTAATAAGCTGCAGCTTTATGGTAGTGATGCAAAGCTGTACTGGAAAGTAGACTGAAGAACTACAGACTCGGTTTGTTAGCATCTGTTTAAAAAAATGGGGGGGGGGTTCTGTAATTTGCCTTTACACACGCCTTTCGTTTGGTTTCATCTGTGATTTTTAATAAACATTCACACTTGGGAAATCTCCACCTCAGTGATTTCACAGATGTTTGGCCTGATCTGTTTCCCTCAGAGCAGGAAAAGTCTGTCTGATGTTTAGACTCTTCCTTTTTTTCTTTCCACATCAGGTATTCTTAAGGAGAGGTAGCTCAAGGTCTGGAATGATCATTACTCACTGTGCCCCTCTGAGGACAGCACAGATGATCTAACACATCTGGGGCACGGGAAGATGAAGTGAAGCCTCCACTAAACACTGCACACACTTCCAATATTCACAAAAAAGCCTTAAGGCATGTCTGATATATACAAAATAATTTATTACTGTAAACAAACATTTGGCTCATACAGAGAAAACATCTTGCAGTCAAGGCATTTTGTTTTAAAACGTCTTTGACCACTTAGCTGTGAGCCCAGCAGGCCATTAATTTCTCTTAAACTGACACATTTTCCAGTTGCTGAAACACTGTCTGCACAGCTAGTCCATCGGTGACTGAAAGATTGAAATAATGGGATCTTCATGGTTGGTAACCACAAGGACACTGCGGAACTTGTCAAACAGCGTCTTTAGCTGCGAGCGCCTCATGTTCTCATTGTACATAATCTCTTCCAGGTGGTGATGTCCTCGGAAATAGTGCAGTAGCCTGGAAGCAGTTAACAAGAGAAAGAGTTTCACTGACTGATCAACAGTGTCAATCATCCATGAGACAGGACTTTTGCACCTCTGATGGGAGCCTTCATTGCTGTGAAGGTGGCAGCACTGGAATGCTGAGAAGCTCTCCAGACACTTTTGATCTCCACCTAACTGCTGGTAAACTAACTCTTTAGCCTATGCTGCCCAATTAAATTTTACAATACTATGCAAGTAGATTTATTCAAACCACTGAACAAATACTTTTTTATCTATTGAGAGACATAAACATTTCATTTCTAAGATATGAGGCAAAGGCAGGCAATCAGTTAGTTCATGTCATCCATGTACACCGCTCTCATGTTTGAACATAAAACAGAACAATGGCAATCTTAAGGACACTTAATAAAACAAGCACACTATGGTCCTGTTGTCAGTTAAAGGCAGATTTAATCACCTCGCAAACATCCGCAGATCCTCTGGATTTTGTGCAGCAGGGATGTTAAGAATAAACTGCCTCTCGTGCTCTGACAGGCTGGCGAGCAGTGTCTCAGTCATCCTCTTGTTGAGCGGGGAGTCTCCACCAGTTAGCAGCTCTGCACTGGAGTTTTCCATACTGGGACTGGTTAGGGTCATGTCATCACTGCTGGCTACACAAAACAAGAAGAATGTCAGATTTTATAGTACAGAGTTAGAGCCGTAAGAGCAGAAGAGTAGAAGCGGGAGGACATACTCGGTGAGCCAAAACTGAGCGCACTAGGGGTACTGAGACTGCGACCTCCTACTCGGGCAGCCAGCGGAGGGTCTTCATCCCTCAGCCCAGGCTCATCCTCACTGGGTGGTACCAACAAGCACACATAAGTGTGCAGCTGGATCAGGAGGCGGCGCTGCAGCATCCAAACCACCATCTGGATTAACTGGGCCTGGTTAACCAGCAGAGCAGCAAACTGCATTAGGATAAACTGAAATAAGGGAATCGGAAAATGCTCACGTAACCAGGTCAAATATGTTTTAAAATAGATCCACAAGAAAGAGTCTGATCCTGTTCTCATGAAAAATGGAGGATGCATACACTAGAGACGATGTCCCTTTGCCATTAATAATTCATCAGGACCTACACTGCCAGAACAAGACGAAGAATGATGGCCCACCTCAAGGATTATAAGTATTATAACTTATGTTTGTGTTCAGTTTTCATATATATTTCTGTCTTCAGGACATAGATATACATCAGATTATTTCATTAAACATGCCTGAAATCATGCAAATTAAAAAAAAGAAAAAGAAACTGGGACATTTTCACAGGTTTAATAAAAGTATTTCTCTTTTGAAATGCTTCACACATGTATTCCACATCATGCAATAACCCCCACCTCCTGTGTGGGAGCTTCCAGGGGATTTCTAAACTCAGCCAGTGAGACAGGCAGTGAGAACTTGGCTAACATAGAGGGCAGATCATGACCAGGAAACTGCCGGGCAAACTGCTCAGCCAATGGTGAATATCTATTCAGGGAGAAGAGAACAACACAGAGCTTATTCCATCACAGAACATCTTTTAAATTTAATTCCAAACAGTGTTGCAAGTCAGATCAGGGAGCCTCTCTATGTGAGGAAATGCCATGGATGAGTGCTTAGCATTAGTGTGCTTCATTTCCTCTTCCCAGCTGGCTTATATCACATCAGATACTCACAGGCAGATGTTGGCATGCGGAGACAGCATGTAGACATTATTCTCACACAGTGGGTAGATGATAATTGCCTTGCCCCAATAAACCAAATGAGCAGCAATCTGAAAGATCTAAATGAGAAAATATTTGTCAATTAATCTCTAGGATGCCAAATAAAAGCAAAATAAGCAAATAAGAGCTACACATGGGGATTTTCTCAGATTTGCATTACATATATCTGCCACTAGATGACAGTAAGACCACCTGACTAAACAACTTCTGAAGGTTATACTTTTTTAAAAGTATATATGTATGTACAGTACACTTTTTCACATTTTAACTTTCCTCTATTCTATCAGTGATGCATACTGCACAATGATTTATAGATCTTTGTGTATTAAACACAACTAATGCATCTTTTAGACTTATAAAAACTAATTTCATCTGATAAATTCATGAGAATCACATCTGACATTTTAAACTGGAAATCTGATCCAGGTAGTGTGACTGTCCTGTACCTGAAGTAAGGCCAGGTCAGCATCCTGTGCCAGCTGCTGCAGGTTTTTCACTGCTGAGCAGGTTTTAATCAGGCGGATCAATGCAGGGGAGCAGTCCAGGGGAAGCTGGCTGAGGAGTGTTTTCTCATTTTCCAGAAGCAACAGGGCATGATAGGGTCTGCAGGATCAGACACACAATACGGCTTCTAAATGAACATACATCCACATACAAGCAGACTCTGTTTGAAATAAACACACATTTCGTTTATTTTACATACAAAGACAAAGGTATACATATTAAACTGTTTGTTAACTAAATATCCAATCAGCCAGTCATATGGCAGCAACTCATTGTGTTCAGGTATGCAGACATAGTCAAGACAGTCAAACTGAGCATCAGAATGGGGAAAAAAGATGATTTGAGTGACTTTGAATGTGGAACGGTTGTTGATGCCAGAAGCTGCTGATCTACTGGGATTTTCCCACACAGACATCTTTCAGGTTTACAGAGAAAAAGGTGAAAATGCCTTTTAGATGCAGGTCAGATAGGAAAGCAACAGTAACTTAAATAACTTGTCAAAACCAAGGTGTGCAAAAAGAGCATCTCTGAATGCACAACACATTGAACCTAGGAATAGATGGGCTACAGCAGTAGACCACCCCACTGCCACTCATGTCAAATATGAACAGGAAACTGAGGCTACACAGGCTTACACAGACTCATTAAAATTTGACAGAAATCCCAATTGCATTTACAAACTGACAAATCTGCAGTAACCTGTTTGTGATGTTATTATGTCAACATGGCCCCAAATCTCAGAAGAATGTTTTCAGCACCTTGTTAAAACTATGCCGTGAAGAATTCTGAAGGATAAAAGGGGTCCAACCAAGTACCTGCACAGGGCAGCAGCAACTAATGAGAGAGCTGATCAAAACTACAGCTATTACATTGAAATGCCAGTAGGCGGCACTAAAGACCACACTAAATTCTGCATCGTTTGAGTGCTTTATATATTAAACACATACATTTGCTTACCAAATACAATCCAGCTAATTAAGGCACAAAACTTCTTTGACATAAACTGAGGGGAAATTAGACTATTCTGACTAAAGGGCTGAAGGGTAAGGTGATTTTGACAAAGCTGTGTTATTTGATGGTTATGTATAGACCTAAGCTGACTAGCCAACGTAGTACAACTGTGTGCATTTGAATGATTGCTGAAGTTATAAGTTGTGATAAGTCCATTTTTAGCAAATTAGTTTGTACTTTAATATTCCAAGCTGGCTGTCACAAAATGATTGTTTTCTGGCCTTAACAATTTATTCATATTATTATGATTATTAGACATTATGAACACAATTGATTACATCACAAATGCAACTGGATGAACTTATTTTGTCATGAAAAGATGCAATGTGTGAAAAAACAGAAGGAATCCACAGAAACCACAGAGTAAGTTATGAATGTGTAATATAAATAATATCATTTTAAATATGACATAAAAAAGCTATTACACCCATGTGTTTATGTTTTGACAAATGAGGTCTATAGGTGTTTTTAGTTGGCCATTTGTAGCAACACAGCCCACATCTGCTGATTTTATTTCATCTAGAACAGCTAATCCCCCTTCCCCACTCTTGCCGTGTCTTTAACTGTAAACAAGATACTTCTAGTTACAGCTAATCAAATAAGATGTTGTGAGATGTAAGAAAACGTCACATAAAAAGAAAAACAAATCTGTAATATACCTTATGGCCTTAAGGCTGCGCTCTAATGCCTCTGGGGGGATGTAGGTGTCACCAATCCTGTGGATCTTGTGCGGCAAACAGAAGCTCACCTCCAGCCAGTCGTTGATGTGAAGTCGCACCACACCGGTTGTACAAAGGCTGAAAAAGCACCATCATCATAATCAGCAATTGCAGAATCAT